CGCTAACTCTCAAGTCGGTGGCATATTTTACTTTAAGGAGAGTGCCATTTTCGAGATACAAAATTTTCGAGCTGCTCATGTTGCGACTCATCGCACGTCTCTGTTAAGGAATTTCAGGCATCGAAACAAGTGGTCCACTTGTTTGATCACTATAATGTGAACAATACAAATATATAATTAAGAATGTTACACTTGTATAAAACTTGAATGTAAATTAGAGACAGAAATATTTCATTCCCCACTTGTTTTTTTAATTATATTGAAAGTAAATAGCAGTAGTCACGATTAATTTCTAAGTATATTGCTGCCACGAGTGCCTTTTAGAAAGAGTTCTATGGAAAGTTATGAAGTAGACAAGTTGCGATACTCAATTATTACCAAGTATAAATTAAGTCTTTCTACAGGTGCCACAATTCTGTCTGAACAACAATTATTAACTTATCATCTCATCTCTCTCTCATACACACATATACCATTAAGGTACGTCACAAACAACAAGTCAAACCATGTTCGAATAGTCAATTTGATTCAAGTAAAGACGCCAAGGAGTCGTTCCTTGTGTTTGTATGACAGTACGAAAATCATCTGCCATAGTGGGGACCGTCGCGCTTGCACGGAAGGCCGTTGACAATCAGATCTCTTCGATTGGTCCATTTCTTCTGCAATTCTAACTGCTACATCATGTGCGTAAACGATGTATAGTAGTATACAACATTTTTTGATATCAAATGATTTTAATATTATTCAAATACTAAGGGGACCTTAAAAAAATTCACCACAACCGTATAATATATCTGATGGCCAAAGGAACTTGACATTTTCGTAAGCACGAATAACTTTCAAGAGATTAGAAATATATTCATAGCTTAAACATAAATATATATTCTACGTCACTAGTGACACTTCTCATAAAAAGAAATTTATCGGTAATATTTATATGGCGTACAACAATCAACACACGCACATACATGGTTTTATTTATCATACTCTCATTTAGCAACAAATACACGCGGTGGACTCACTCACGCGATAAAGATTTAAATTAAAACAAAAAAGAAAAGAAAATAAAACAGTACATGAGACTCCATACCATGTTCTCGAGAAAATACTACACTTAAACCTTTCTACAGTCATGAACGTGGTACGGGTCCTGTAGGCCCTTTCCGTAAAACTTTTTTTTTTGTGATTTTTTGAAAAGTTAACGTTGTAGAAAAATCCCTATATGTCACAAATTAGGTACGAATAGAAGCCGTTTTGGGAAAGGACACTAGTGTCTTCCCCTCTATATAATAATATATTTACATATTTACAACTATTATTTATCTTCCATGGACTAATTTAAAGATTTCATACATAATTTTTTATAAAGTAATCTGGTTTATAAATATGTCTATTCTAATCCTAAATAATCCAATTTGCCGTTGTAGATATCTAATATAGCGACTTTAAGTTGTCCGACATGTAGTCTTCTTACATTATTACTTTTCATACAGAACAGAAGAAAGGGTATTAAGGAGTGGAAAGGGCTATTATTCTACAAAAGAAACTGGACCACTCCATAGTGAATGAATTGTATGGGTATTGCCGACATAGTATATCTATTAACAATGAATGTGAATGTCTTCGTCCACATTTGGCGCTACCCAGGGAGCACCGCGCGGAGGTCATGGACTAAGCTCCCCTTGATGCCACACGTTTTATATCAAGCGTTTAACAATATTGGCAAGCTTGCTATATATATATATATATATATATATATATATATATATATATATATATATATATATATATATATAAGTTAACGATATAATATTATAATTAATACATATAATATAATTGGAAAATGTGTCTCAATAGTGCAAAAAATCTTGTGAGACAGTTGTTATTTAACTAAATAATGGGATTTTGATGACGCCCTTTTTAAATTTGGTAAAAACATGTATTGAACCTTTCTATAATTTTCTTACGCCTTATATCGAATTTTATATTTTTATTGTCAAGCCTAAATTGCGTTAGCAACGCATCAAGTTACAATTTCCTTTCTATCCTTTTTAAAATAGACTTATAAACGTTTAAAAATAATTGTAATATCTATGTGAGGTTTCATGGATAAAAGAGAAAAAACAGAATGTAGCCAGATTCACAACTGATGCTATCCAAATTTAACTATTTACTCTGCTAATTATAGACCGGGTTCTTGTTATGATCCTGGCTTGTAAAAGATATGTCAATAGAATTTTGCTTGCAAAAGAATATATTATGTCGAATGGAATTGAGAACCCTCAACGACGACCGTAGTTGCCAGAGAATGAATCAGAAATTGTTATTCTATGTTTTTCTTCCTACCCTTACTTAATTTTGCATAATATTAGAAACATATCACATGTTTTTAATACTACAAATAATAAAAAAAATTGCAATGTAGTTGGATTTGCACCTTTACACTACACGTGAAATTACAAAATATATCTAGAAATAAGAGCACAAGCGGATCGTATCCTCAATAAAAAGTATCCATGAAGGGCGATTGAACTTGTTCGATTTATTTACGTTCTTGTGGCGATTCTACCGATGTAACATACGAACGCAGAGTCCATGAGTTTATAAAGTTATAAGCTCAAAAACCTGAGCAAATATGTTGCAATAAAGGCTAGTTATATACATACCACAATATGAGGACACTTCATACAAGTGAAGCATCTAAAGGGGTCCCCCGATAACGTCCATTGACAAACTTTGATCTCAAACTTAGACAATATGCCCAAAAATCAAATAAAATCTTTTTAGACTTTATAACAATGATCTCCAATTAAATATTAACATATTAAAGTGTAATTGACACTTCAGTTGGTAATAAATCGCGGAGGGGTACCTTCACAATAATTAACCTAACCTAAATAAATACGCGCAACGAACATACCGCAGTTTAGAATAGCGGATTTCGTTTTAAATGAGAAAACAAGACGATAGTTTACGAGAGGAATTTGATAATAAATTAGCCTTTTATATATCACTATCTTTTCAGAGTAGGTTTTGTAAATAATGTTTTCTAAAAATCGTTTCATTTGAATATAGTTAATGTTTAAGTTAATGTTAATGTTAACTTACATTTACTAGTTTATCTATATACAGATTAGTTTGAATGGTGTAAAGCGAAAAATTGCAAACAAAGGATCCGTTATTATAAGGAATAGCTTTGTTTTACTACCAAAGTCCTCTCAATCCATCGATAAGTATCATAGAGTGAATTATCTATTTATAATACATAAGTCCGGCCCCGACTCCACTTAGAGGGCGGACCACACTCTGTCCGTACAAGACTTGCTATCCTTACATACAAATAAACAAGTAGTTCATACAATACCATATATAATATTTTTATTTCAATTGCCCCGCCGTGCTAAGCAAACTGTGTGCTTTTTTTGTTTACATAAGTTTTAACATAATGGCAAAACTGAATAAACAATTTACCAGCTTACAAGGTAAAACAATGTTGAAATATTTCACGTGACAATATTAAAAATATATTTACAATATCTTTGATAGGGTGTAAAAAAATCTTCGCATTTATCGGGCAACGTTTACAGTTCATAAAATATTTCCACATCTTTGGTTTACATATTGAATGGTTGGTTTACACTTTAATTTATATATTGAATGATTGTGAGCATTATTATGGAATGATGAGACATTAAAATTAGTATGTGTTGCCCTACATTTACTTTTCATAAACACATTAATGTGTCTTTTTAAACTGACACCCTTAATCGATACTTTGATAAAACCAGCTAACTCCATTTGAGAAATTGTTTCAAAAGCGAGATCTTTTTTTAGACTACCTTTTGAAACAAAAAAATCGGACGACGTATAATATCGGTTAGCTTTTTTTTTTGATATTGTACAATACTTGAAACTTTATAATTATAATGCCAGATCGAGTTTTGGAGTTACCTGTTTTTATTACACAATGTCTAATTGACAGGTTCGATAATTAAGGTATCGACATAATAATACAAAAACATTGCGTCACGTGAGTAATTTCTACTAAAATTATTCCAAAAACATCAACACTCATACACCAATTATTGCAAACGTATCGAAGTACTAAAAGGCATATAGTTATTACTTTCCGTTGTATTTTTTATAGTTAGAAAAATATTATCTTAAGTCGCCATTCTGCACTTCTAAGCAGTGCTTTAAATTTTGGCTACAACCGCGAACAAACGGATCGTAGAAAGAACATAAGAATAACTGCAGTTGTCTTCTGAGACAGAATTTAACCTCTGTTAGGGTTCTAAAGTAACGGCGGTAATAGAAATATATTCGTTTTTTTTCTACTATCATATCATGGTGACTATGAAATTGTAAGAGGTTTATTATGATAATGATTTTGCAATGAAAAAGAAGATAATAATCTCTGCCTTATAAAATGTATCTCATAGTATGAGTGCATTTATCTTAATAATTTTTACATACAGTTGTAAATATTATATAAGTGTAACATATAAACTCACAACATCGAGTGTAAATTTTTCTTTTAAATACATACATAATATTTACTTCAAAAAAATATCATCCTTCAAAAAACTTGTTACTTTTACAATTGCTTTTCTGATAATTCATACAAATCAGACGATTCATATTGATATGCCGCCAGCGGTGCAATCATAGACACCGAAGTCTAGTAACATTTTCATAGGGATTCGACACGGCAGAGACCTCCTCAGGATGTAGAACGTCGTTCTACGTAACATTTAAATGCCATAATATATAATCGATCGTCGAAATATTACTGTTACCTACCGATAATTTAAACGTTCCTCGGCAACGTGACGACTTAAATCGATATCGCAACGTCGAGTAGGACCTCGGCGCAAATTCTCACATACGAGTCCGATATACACGATTCGGTACGGAACGCCGAAGTCACATTAAGAAGCGAGGAAAGTAGAGGTGTAGAGAGTCCGTATGGCTGGGGGCGGGGCTGGAGGCGCGCAGGCCTAGCACGGCGGGGGCGCGCGCGGGGCGGGCGCGGGGGCGCGGGCGGGGCGCGGCCGGGCCCCGTTACGGGTGGCCGCCGCTGCCCAGCCCCGGCGTCGTGGACCCGCCGGACGAGCCGTGCGGCGGCAGTAGGACGCCGCCCTGCACCAAGCGTTCACTATAACAAGTCTCCTCGTTGGCGAACGTCCCGCGCCTTCGAAGCCGGCCGGAGTACTTCGACCGGCTTTGAAAGCGGAGAGTTCTGTTTTTTGGAACTCGATTAGAATGCCGGTTAATAAGCGAGTAGGGCACTTTAAACCTTCGGTAGTAGCAGTGCCGGTGCTCATACTCAGCGACCGAGTGGAACGTGGTGTCTCTAAATCTTTGGCATAGACAACTCTAAAGGCTTAATATTTTTCTTTAAAAAAGAAAGTAAAAAGTTTGGTTTCAATCTAAACAATGTATATAATGATATGGGAACTTATTTTATATGTTACATTATGTTTTCTCGTGAACTAGTGATTTTACTCAACACTACTGGCTACTATAGGAATAAGTTTATACATATTACGTACTTATTTACTTAACCAAACTCGTACAGGTCACCTGCTACTCCAGGTCTACTGTGCCCACTTCTAACGTAGTTAAATTAATGTGAATATCTAAATCTGTTTTCCTTGCTATATTATTGGTGCCGATCTGACGTAACTAACAAAACTAATTTGGATCTAAATATTAATATAATTTCATTTGAGTACTGAGATAATACGTCCCTACCAAAGACATACACGGACCTTATCGGTGCTGTCCTTCAGATTTTTCAGGTGTGTTGAACTCGCAACCTGCGAGCATGTATGGCGAGATGTACGACTGTTGAATGAGCAGAATTGGATTGTTGGGATTACAATATTTATAGATAGGGTTTCAAAGTTTTATAGGGTTAGTAAACTGGCTATCACTAACAAGATAAATTACTAAAGTCGTACTATCAACTTTCTTTATCTATACTAAAAAACCTGCTAGAATCGTTGAAATCAAATATTTAAGATTGGAAATTAATCAAATACACACACACACACGCCTTCATGTAAAAAAAAACACGAGACGTATTCAACGACCGCATTTTTATCGCCTGTGGTTATAGTCCCATTTAAATAATAGTACGCAAGGTATTTCCCTTAACCGAGGACTTTAGATAATATATATTGAGGAGGGTTAGTAAGGAGTGAAAACATTTGTATGAGAGGGATATGGCAGAGAAGAGGGCGGACGATAAGAAGTATGATTTCTCTTTAAAATTGATTTTGTTTTATTATTGTAATATTTTTTTTTACCAAAAAATTTTTTTTAACTAATTACAATGTATACCAGCAATACCATACTGATGGATGCAATAGTATTTATCCAATATTTGTATCATAAAAGTATTTATTTATTTTCATCCAGGTGCTAACACAAAAAAGTCATAAAATATATAAAAGAGGGAGAGAGGCAGGGATTTATGATCGATTTGCAGTAATTAAATAATTTTAGTATAGAGAAACCTAGCAGTACTCCTAAACTCTCTTTTGTAAGGTAGGAAGCTCCTATTGACATGAGAAATACTTATTGTAATTTGAATAAATAAAACTTAGTAGAAGTGTTCTCGATGTTCATACCTGTATGGAGTGTGGGTGTGGTTGCGGCGGTGAGGCAGTAGGCGGCGCGTGGTTCAGGTACGTCAAGTGGGGGTGATGGTGGGGATGGTGGTGGTGGTGCGTCGCCGTTCCGCCCGGACCCAGACACAACACCTGATGATATACGGTCAAGATTAAGTAACGCATTGTTTTCCTCTCATTTAGAATTATTTAATATCCCTCTTTCTCTCAGCCGACGAGAGATTACGATCCGGCCGTTCGTTTTAGCTACATTAAATAAACGAACTGCCCTCAAAACCCTCACTCACTCGCAAGTTTATAAGTGAAGATTAAATTGATGGTAACGATTAATCGGCAAGGTTTGTGATGTGTTCATACAAAAGGGAGTGAGACGATTCGTACCTGGAACTGTGGCTGCTGGTAGTGGTGGTGCGAGTGCGGGTGAGGGTGCGGGTGCGGCGTGTGCGCGGGCGAGGGCGGCGGGTAGAGCGCGGGCGAGGGCGCGGCGGGGGAGGGCGCGGGGGGCGGCGCGTAGCCCACGCCGGGGACGCCCACGCCGCCGCCCACCTCCGCGCCGCCCACGCCTGACCCCACGCCGCCCACTCCGCCGCCGACACCGCCGTGGTACATGCGGACCTGAACACGTTTACGATATTATTATCATATAGAGTTCATTCCACTAATTTTAATTATTTCTAGACCGAGTTAGATACGTCTGTAATGAGAAAATCGGTATTGTACCGAACATATAAAAATAACAATGCATCAATTATTTTATAAATTTTTAACTTTAAGATATCAATATAATAATTTAAACCCTTTCGCGTGAGAAACTAACTATCTAATGGGCTCGTTCATGGTGTGAGATTTTCGTATGAACTTTTTTTCACATAATACCTATGAGGTTCTTCTTTTAAAGAATGTGCAACATTCGATTCTAGACTTTCAATTTATTTTTTTATTCAACTTAGACGTGAAAGTTGGATACTTCGAAAATCCGAGTCATTTTTGACCGACGCGGAACGGATAATGGAAATAATAATAATGGAAACTTCGACTTGAAGCTTTTTGGTATAATACGAATATTACCGCGCCGCCAAATACGAGGATATATTCCTTCCGCAATGCAACGTTTAAAGACAGCCAAAATCGTGTCACCCGAAAGTTTAGAAGCTTCTTTTATCATTTTGTTTGATATTTTATCATCGCCGAAGCCTTGTTTTGAATCCCAGATGGTGGAAGCCGATCCTAGTGAAACTACCCAGGAATTAGCGGAATGGTTTAACGTTACCCTGGCTACATTATTGACTCAGTTGCATCAAATCAATAAGATAAAAAATATGAAAAATGGGTGCCTCATGATTTTACTGATCTGCAGAAAGAAATGTGTGTTGAAACTTGTGTTGCCTTGTTGGATCGGTTTAGAAATAAAGGCATATTGGATCGAATATAATAATAATAATCTTCTACCACATTGACACAACGCCATCTAGTCTCAAACTAAGCAGAGCTTGTACTATGGGTACTAGACAACTGATGTAAATACATAAATACTTTTATTTGTAAATACATACATATTATACATAGAAACGCACAGACCAAATCAAACATTAAAGTTCTTGCACACAATGTATAGATAATGAGGGTAAACATTTCGATTAAAAGAAATATGTTACATTTTAGAAAAATACGAGTTTTAATTTTTCAGTACAAATCCTCAATTTCCTACTTTAACCCCTAAAATATTAAACTGAACAGTTAAAACACGAGAAGTCCACGGAGTCCTTTATAAATTATTTTCAATTACACAAATAATTGTTCCAGAAGAAAACAACATCACTACACTTGACCCTGTCATAAGTGGCGACGTGAAAAAGACTTACATAATATTTAGACTTATATGATATTTAGATTTACAGAATATTTGGACTTACCATATGCTGGTATTGCAGAGCAGAAGGTGCGGGATGGGGGCCTGGGTGCGGGTGGGGATACGGCACGAAGGGCTGCATGGGCGCCGGCGCTAATAAGGGCTGGCCGGTAGCAGCTGCCACCTGCATGCCAGGGCTGACACCCACTGCGCAATAAATCCATTTTTAGCAGTACTTGACATTTATATAAAACTAGCTGTCACGTTTCGCTGTAGCACATCGTGGTTGCATTGATGACAAATGAGGAACATAACTGACCAACAAAAAATAGATAAAAGCAATCTTTGAAGCGAGCTGTGTTTTGTGTCAACATTTCAGCTTATTCGGTGCAAAACAGTAGAGTTTTTGAAGTGTACGCAAACTAACTTAAACATTTTTATACATATTTATGAAAAATTTCATCTTCATCTTGATGTGCCTTAACACATACAGAATGTGACTTTTTAGTTGTTTATGTACAAACATCAATAATTATAACTAAGACATTGAAGTTAATCATACTCTATTGAAATGAGTTCAATAGAGTATGGTAGAATAGAAACTAGCGTTCCGGCCCGACTAGAATTTACTAATAAATGGCACCAATTCTTTTTAATTGATATAAAAATCTTACTTTTTCTGAAATTTCTTTGTTGGGGAGTAGGTAGTTGCTGCTGCCCACCTCCGCCGCCAACTCCAGCTACGCCTGCACCGCCCCCCATGGCTCCGTATGCAAGCTGTACCAAAAATTACATTATTTATATATTTAATTGGAATTTTAATTGATACATGCGTTTTATGAGAACGTTACTGGAAGTGTTAATTGTAGTTAAGGGCTGCTCAGAATTCGACTTTACTAGAGGTATGTAATACCCTAAATAAGAGATAGCGTTAATTCCCGTTAAATAATATTAATTATGCTCAGAATTCGAATTATAAAATAATAATAATAATGTTTATTTCAATCACACAAATAAATTACAAAAAAATATTTACATTGTTCACAGTAGGAGAATAAATTAATATAATATTATGCCGACCTTTTTTTGGGGACTAATCCATCCCACACGCCTACCACTGTAACTCCTGTACACCAGGATCAACAGCAGTGATCCACGAACACACCGAGTTATGACACTCGGGAAGTCCAAGGAAAAAAAAACTGTCTTGGAACCCGCAACAAAATTAATCGGTTCCCTCCTTAGCAAAGCGGGAGACAAAATGAATTAAAATAGGCACACACGCCTTTAAACAGGGACGCTACAAAATATCACAGTGATCCACCTCAAGCCATGTCCCCGACAACCGTTCGCGAACAGATGGAAAGAACTGGAAAAGTTGGCGCCCCTTAGATGATTCGTCCCAGCGTTGTTGCCATTCGTCTATGCGGTCATTGTAGACATCGGATTGCTGTTGAAGCAATCTTGTCATTTTATCGCGATCTCGTGCGCACAAAAAATTGCATTCCGTGTTTTGTTGTCTTGAATAGTACATGGCTGCACGTTTCTGCACCTCGAGATCGACCGGAAGCACACCCGCCAACGCCGGCAAAGCCTCAGGGCTAACCGTCTTATATGCCTTGCGCAAGAATATCAGGGCAAGTCGTAGACCTTGGTGCAGTTTGCGACGGCCAGCGCCTACGGTTGCCCTATCGGCCCATACAGGTGCACCAATGCACATAGAACCTAAATAAGTAGCTCCGTATATGATCTTATTTAGATAGATCTAGATTATGACTATCTATTCATTAACTTTTATATTAAGGCGTTACTGTGTATGCAAACGTACAAATAATCGTGACTGTACCCCGTGCCGACGCATCGATACCCCTTTCTTCCACAGTCGATATCTTGGATCAACGTCATTCAATTCTTTTACTTGTAATTTTTCTAGATCTGTATCGTTCTAGGTCAATAGGATACGGTTGTTCCTTTTTTTTATTGTAATCTACTATTGATGTAACATAATTTATTTTCAGGCATACCAGATGCCGGTACGTTTAGGATTGACCTCGAGGAGTTTTTAACCAAATTTGTTTTTTACGAAAACGTTGCTATGCGGTCAACAATGATTACGAAGGCCGGTATTAAAATTTTATTTATTTATTTATTGAAATTTATTTACTGAAAATTATATCATTATTTCATAATGTCCAAAACAAGAAATCAAAACAGTGAAGGGAAAACATAAAATGATATTTCATAATGAGTCATAATTATTTTTTATGTTACGAAGTACATTTGGCATTTGTGAACAGTTTTTAAAAAAGTAGTTTTTAATTGAATCAGTTGTAGTCAACTTGTGGTAGGTACGATTTAACCTGAAATTAAGGGATGAAGGATTGAAGTCAGTGATACATTCACGTAGAGACAAGTTTGTTCATGCTAAATTAATAAGACCTTTTAAAAGATTTACTAGTACGGAGCAGAAAGGAGTAGAAAGAAGAGTAGGATTGAGCTCTCATCGTCATAATATGTGCGCAATCGTTGTAGATGGTGTCGTACCATCTCTATCCAGATATAATTTATTACATAAAATATTGACGATCCAAACTCGCTTAGTAAATCAATATCAGCGAATATAAATTGCTTATCTAAAAGGTCTACTATAGGTACTATCATATCGTGTAATATATATGGATAAAGAGATAAGCTGTATTTAGTGGCACATTGAAAACATACACAATGGTACTAATTCTGTTGTTCGAAAACTCTCCAAACTAAATTAAAAAATCTCAAAAAAATTGCTTAGTCCTGTCAAACAACGTTTTCTATTCTGAAAACGTAGTATGTGACAGGACTATATAATATTTAATTACGAACTTATTTAATTTTTTCCTTTGCGTATAAATATTATTTGTTTATCACTTGAACACGTTATGTTTGAACCTTGAATTAATTAAAGCTATGAAGTGGAGTAGTTCTAAATTTTTTGTAATATTCAAACATTCACATTACGTTAAGAGTTGCAAGGCTATTCAGACAAATTTAAAGGTCTTAAAATTTTATTTAACGAAGTCACAGAATAATGTTAGTGTGTAATACGGCATCATAATAAGTCGATAAGAATCACGCGAGGGCAACCGATAATTAAACTGACACGATTTGACATTTTGCGAAGATAAATCCTTTAGACATATTTAATATGAGCAACTGTTAACACTGAAACTGTGTAATGTGAAACGTACTTGTGTATGAAACGGATGTGTAAATATATGTAATATCGAAGAAATATCATCAAAATGTGGTTGTTATGGGTGCCGATCTTTTTAATTTTTATGAGAATCTATAACAAAATAACAAACGGGAAATGTTACTCCGATAATGTGATGAGCGGCAAGGTGGCTATTATCACAGGAGGAAACAGCGGAATTGGATATGAAACTGCTTTGGAATTAGCTAGGAGAGGAGCTAAAGTGATACTAGGTTGTCGTGATGACACACGCGGACAAAAAGCTGTCGATTCAATCATCAAGAAAACGAAGAACGAAAGCGTAAGCTACATCCATTTAGACTTGAGTTCATTTGCATCCATTAGAAAATTCGTTAACGACTTTAAAAGTTTGGAAATTAAATTGGATATTTTGATAAATAATGCTGGGGCTAGCGGCGTCCACAGAGAGAAGACTGAAGATGGCATAGTTAGAGACATGCAAGTGAATCATTTTGGACCATTTCTACTGACTGTGTTGCTAACGCCTATATTGGTAAAAACAGCACCTAGTAGGGTGATCATTGTATCATCTACTTATCATAGATTTGGAACAATTAATGATTTGAACACTCCACATTCGTATATAAGAACTTATTGTGACAGCAAACTGTGTAATGTGCTATTTAGTAATGAACTAGCGCGAAGATTGGATGGTACCGGGGTGGTCGTGAACTGCTTGCACCCCGGACACGTCAATACAAGTTTCTATAGAGCCACTACCATGGAAAAGCTAAGAACTTTGATATTATATAGCTTTTTCAAAAATCCAGTAGAAGGTGCCCAGACAAGTTTATATTTGGCAGTGTCAGATGAATGCGATCAAGAGACAGGGAAATATTTTGTAGACTGCAAAGAAGGTTTAATGGGTCTGAAGGCCAGAAATGAAGAATTAGCGGCAAGTATGTGGGAATTATCTGAAAAGATGGTTGGTCTGAAGAGAGAGGAAACTATTCCTTAAAAAGAATTGTATCAACTTTAAAGAGTATATACATTTATACTCTTATTAAGTTTCTTTGTATATTTAGACACAAAAACACATGTTAACACAAAAAAAAACCTAAAAGCGTTAATGTTAATCTCTGTACTGTAAATATTTACTTGTGATAAAAAGTAACTTTCTAAAATAAATAAAATGATTACTTAAAACACGGTATTTAAGTTGATGTATCCGAGCTAAACCAGTGCACTGTGAAATTCAAAATCACTCATTTGTTCTTCCTACTTGTGATAACACAACACTCCAGATACAAATTTACTTAGCTTCCACCGACATTAGTTAAAACTTATGAAGATATTTATAATAAAGGTTGGGGCAAACAGCAGCGAGACAGAAATACAGGTTAACCAGTATACAACTGTCTCAATAGTCACCCGATGTCTGACCCAGCCATAAAGAAGTTAACTAAATTAAGTTTTTGCAATGATTTTTAACCCACATTTTAAAAATAAGTTAAGAAAATTAAACTTATCAGAGGTGTTTTATCATAATGTTAAAAAAACAATCCACTCAAAGCATTAGCTAAACAGTTATGTGGCCAGTTCTCAGGGTGGTTAGCTAGGCAGGCACTAAACTCATGTTACGATACACTGACGAAAAACTGAACACTTCACACTCCTACCTAATGGGACATAAAATTGTAATACTTTTGCTGTCAGAGCAAAAGTCACTACAAGATCTGTATATACGTACAGTCGAAAGTAAAGTATAAATGTACAAAAAAAAAAGATTTATTTATTAAAATCGTTGAATCGTAGCCGAATATGTTTGTAATCTTAATATACCTTTTTTTAATTCTTGCCTGCTTTGTTTTAATATAAAACTCCATTTAAATTAAGCACTATTTTAAATATTTTACCTGTAATTGTGCGGTATAAATCTCGCATTTCTACTAAATAAAGTATTTTATGTAATTTAGCTATACATATTATATACTTTACTATCGACTGTATACTGATACTTAAAAGCTTTTATACATTGTCCCATTGTGCGAGTCGTGTGCTCACCGCGTCGGGTCGTTCCCGTTTGTCGGGCACCATGAATATTGGCGGGGCGTACTGCCTGCACTCGCACCCCATCTCCATCTGTCGTCGTCCGTAACAAATTAGGCTATCAGTCATTTTTCCTAGTCTAGGTTGCGCAAAATTTTAATAATTGATGTACCAGAACTATTCCATAGCTTCAGTTCTTGTGTCTACTTCTTGGTAGAAGACTAAGTCAGTCAGGCAGTCTTCTAGGGAGTGAATAGGGAAGGTTGAATTATATAAATTTCTAACATTGATTACTTGATGCAGCATTAATTATATAATGTTCCCTGATCATGTCATGTCATAGTAGAAAATTAAATACCAAAAAACGTAATATTTAAATACTTATCATTGAGTGCTAGGTTCCATTAACAACTAATTATTATTAAAAATCTTAAAGTAGAAGTACTTTATAACATTGTGAACTGAGCTTCTTGATATAAATGAGATCAATGTCAGACTCTAGAATTTCAATTGAGTCCAAAAAAAAACCATCAAAATGTGAATGCCGCTTGACCGGAAAATGGTATTACCATTCTCCGATCAAGCGGCATTCAATCAGGCAAAGAGCAATGAATTATAGGTAATTGGAACAGTGGTCTGTTAAGTAAATTATCATTTTTGGTTCATTAGTACGGCGCGATAAATATGTATCTTCGTAATAACTACCTTGAGTATATTAGGCAACACTTCTGCCTCAGCTTCAACATTGGCAAGGTTCTTCTGTAAATGACCAGGTAGCGACAAAGGCAGTTCTAGTACGGGTAAAGGTACGACTCCTTTCCTATGGTATATTGGTGAGCAGACAGTATGGAGGAAAGGTGCGGTACTTACGGCAGGGTGCGGATGAGGGAGGTACGCCGGGGGCGGCTGTTGCGCCGCTGCCGCAGCCGCTGCCATCATCGCGTATGGCACCGCTGCCACCTGTGTGCATTGACATAATTATTGCATTTTGAAAGAAAAAGCAGTACTGATAGATAGTTAAATATGCTATTGGTTACCACGAGATTGCTAACTTAGCTTAACAATTTTAGCTTTAGAATTTGTGTTAAGGAATAATCAAAATTTGTGGAGTTAGGTTAAAACTAATATTTTTATAAACATATTATTTACGTTTGTTGAAAGTACTTTCACTAGAGTGTATCACAGATAAATCTCACCAATTCTTTCAGTGTTGAACCTTTTCCATAACAAAGTAAACCCCAATCGTCATTGTGTTAATTTGAGAGGTAGGTTAAATAAGCGTATGAAGAAATCTCTCGCCCCTCGATATTTTCACATCATATAACATAGTCAAACTAGTTTAACAATATAAAACAAGGTTACGTATGAAGTATGAATGTATGTTTAAGGAATAAATGATAACATACCATAGGAGGTGGGGGATGTGGCGCAGGCACATAGCTCACACCAGGTCCCATAACACTGACGCCGCTCAAGTTGACGCCGACGCCGCCCACTCCTACTCCTACGCCCACTCCCACTCCGCCTGACGGCGTGCCTGGGGTGTGTGGCCTGTAAAATCATTATATGTTTTAAAATTGAAAAGTTTTTGTTGCTATAAATACTTACGATATGAATGTATCATAATTTTGCTGTCTCCGAACAAATATACAACAGATACTGGCAACGGTCATACCATAACTGATTTCATGCAAAAGCAAACTTTCGGTCGTTTGTGAGTGATAATAGAAAGTATTACTAAAATTATAGATTTGTGCATTCCTTAGCAGAGCAACCGGCAGGTTTTTTTACCGATTTGCTTATTTTATAGAACAGTTTGTGCATTTACTAGCACGTTCGAGGTGTGTTACCTGCTCGGGTTGGGCGTGCTGGGGCTTCGCGGCGTGAAGGGTTTGGCGGCGGGGTTAAACTCCTTGGCGTTGGGATTGAGTGTGGACTTTTTGATGGCGGCCACACGCTCCATGCTGGGCGAGCTGGCCACGGGCGGGGACGTGGCTGGCGCCGAGCGCTCGTCGCCGCCCAGCTCCTTCGCCGTGCTCGCCACCGCACTCGCAGCCTGCACAGAACATACACTACTTAACTACAGAGGCACAACACAACTTTTTTCTCGCTTTTTGTTGTTGTTTTGCTTTTTGTTTTGAGTTGTTACTCCACTACAAAATAACAGTAAAGAGATAAATTTATGGCTATATGATGATTATAAATTTTATTTTCTGGAACAAACTAACATAGAGTAGAGTATGTAATGTAATAAACAAAGTAAATAAAATGTATCGAAAGTGTTCACTTAAATTTTGATAACTCGGGACGTCAAATCCTAATTGTCGTTTTCGTTTTCATCAACACAAATATGTTGTTTCTTGTGTGCCTCCGTTTATTTTATATAAGTTACTCGTTAACCGTTTTCCCTTATTTTACCCCTTTTTAGGGGTGAAGCTAAATTGACGTCATGACGTATACATAGTTTTAGTTAAGAAAAGTACTAGATACTTTAAAGTATCTCAGGATAGTATCGATACTGTACTCGTGAACACAATAACAATGCTTTCTATTTGCTACCGTGTCCCTATTGGAGTCGTGCGCTCGGCGATCATGCGAGCCTCGCAAGCCCCTCCACCCCCGGTCTGCCCGTGCTCGTGCCATCTTCTTTAAATAACAAAACAGATGAAGGTTTATTTTGATAATAATTAATTTTGTACTGTAAAATGAGCATTTTAAAAAACGTATTGAATTAAATTTTGTTTATGCGTGACTATTTTGATAGATATTTTGAAAATAGATATATATATTATATTATGGTCGTGCAGACCTATTTTCAGAACTGTTTATGAGAAACAATCTTACAGTACATTATCTCTGTGTAACTCAAACGGTTTAGGCAGCGTACGCCAAATTAGTTTCCAGAGGGCCGGAATCTGCCGACTTCCCACTTACAAACTTGCGCATATATATGCGCAAGTTTGTAAGTGGGAAGTCGGCAGATTCGACGGGAAGTCGGAGTCGAGTAAATAAAATAAAACAATCCTACAAATATTTGTAGGATTGTTTTATTTTATTTGTACATATTTTAGTGGTTGTATTATATACTGTGCATGCCTATTGTGGATCTACATATTAGAACTATGTCATACTGTAGGTATATTTTATTTAAATATTGTGTGTGCATAAGGTTTACGTGTTAATTTTGATGTTTATTAAAATATACATATAACTTATCACATGTTCTGCTGGAAATAAGATCATGAATTCATATTATCATATGAATATATCATTATATTCCTTCACATAGATCATCTTACATTCACATTTTTTTGTGTTAAAGGGTTTTTTCGCACAATCTTTAAACGGTTATTATTTCACTGTTTGACACTGTACACTACAGAATAAACACATACAATAAATTTAAAGAGTAACCTCAAGTTGATGAAAAATAAGAAGATACAAATTTCACAAAGAGAAAGCGACGGTCTATCTATTCTATTCAGCTTTTAACTAAAATATTCCGTACCCTCTATGACTTTTATTACTTAACTGTTTAATTACATTTTATAAACCAAAATATACATCAAGACGTCATAAGTGAATAGCTGCTCATTCAGGAACTATATTGTCGGATGGAGCGTAAATAGTAGTAGTGCGTACGTACCTTATGGACGGTGGGGGGCGTGTGCTGCTTGGGTGGGCGGTCGCGCTTGGCGTGCGGCTCGGTGGCGGCGCCCGCGTTGGCCGACACCTCGGGCGGGCTCGGCGCGGGCGGAGGCTGGCTCTGCAAACCAACAAAAAACACATTGACTTCTGTTCCCATAAACTATCTACAGTTCCAATGTTTCTTAAAAGCCTTTCCTCTCTCCAGATTCTAAACGTATTTCAATAGAACCGAGTTATGAAACCCGGTAGAAACTATTTACCGGTGGTTGTGGATTCACTGGCGGTTGCGGCTGAGGTTGCGGCGGTGGAGGTTGCTGTTGTGGCATTTGCTGCTGCGGAGGTGGTAGTTGTGGCTGTGCTTGAGGTTGAGGAGCGGGAGGAGCGGCAGCTGGAGAAACCAGCTTGAAATCCTGACCAAACTTGCGGAATTCCTGGTACAAACAAATGCATAGAGTAAATTTTTTCTTGTGTAATTTACAGAACAGAACTCTAAAATTAGCTTCAAATAAACAAGTATGTGTGCATAGTTTAGCTATGAGATATTTCGCGTCCGCATTCAGGTTGATGTTTTAAGTGTAACTGGAAAATCCTATCACTTTATGTTACTGACATTGAAGAATAGTCTACACACCTAAATTACAACTAAAATCTGTTTTCTTTCATTTTTTCTATCATATGCAAATCGACAGGTAAACTCAGTGATAAGATGAATGAAAAATTTAGTGCAACAGACAATACCTGTACTTCGTCTTGCCGCCTGGAGTCCGGCGGCGGGGCGTGGTGGCGCGGCGGCCGGCCGTGGCTGTCGCTCGGGGGCGGGGGGTTCTATGATCAAATAGTTCGGTGAGATAGTATCCTTGCTTTTTCTGTCTAATCTATCGGTATGTACCAATCATAAAAAATATGTACTAACGTGATGATGGTGCGGCGGGAACCCTTGCCTATGTTGTGGCGCACGAGGCTCTCCATTCACTTTGTTTACACCACTAGCTGCCCTATAACACAAAGACCCAAATTGGTGATTGAAATTTTTCATAGATATATGTATATTTACTTGCTAAGCTACGCCATTTCTCCGTTGAAGAACTGCAGCCTAAGAGTTAAATGCAAGGTAATAGAATTTACAGAATCCTTTTAACATGGCCGACTGTCATAAATATTATACCAATAAGAAATAATAGATAGTGTTTATATAAAACAATAAGATATTCAGTCGGTTAAGTCAATCTCATGTTGATTGGACGACACTATGATTTTGTCGCTCCCCGTGCTACTTCAAACCACCAAAAGGTCCTAAAATTCACATTTAAACTACTTTAATTATGGGACTCTGCGTTTGTGTAAGATACGATTTTATAGTTTTATCTTATACTTTGTTAGACCGAAATTGGTCTCGGTATAATACAGTCAAGTTTGTGTTCTATACTGAGTTCACTCACGGGTGTGATTGGTGAGGCGGGAACGGTGGGACGTGGTAGCCGCCAGCTTGCGCTGCGTAGGTCTTTCCACCTGCGCTAGTGCTTACACTCATGCTCTGTGGATATAGATAAAGTTTTTGTACTATTATAACAACAGGCAAACATTTGACCTCGAGACGTTTAAAACTAGACATGAAAATTATTGCTACTTTTTAATCAAAAATCGCTGTGACTAAAGCCAATCATTTCATAAATTAAATTATGAAATGATTGGCTTTAGTCACAGCGATTTCACATGTGATTGTGCTTTCGTCATAGACAAAGATAAATAGCATCAAAATCAATCAAAATTATTTATATCAATTTTTTGTTTGATTTAGACCTTTCGCGAGTCTTGCGCTAGCTAATAATTAAGTAGCAGTGGTTTTGTAAATCAGTCACAGGCGTGATAATATGATTTATCACATAAGATAGTGATTTCATTCCATCCCTATTTGAAAGATTTTGGTAAGACACTGTATGTCATTAGTATCGGTTAAAGCGAGATGGATGTAGATATAGTGAAAATAGTTTTCACCCGAGCAGGGGGTAGCGTAGTAGTGGTCAGACATACGGGCTCGTCCTGGCGGCGCTCGGCGGGCGGCGTGAGGCCGGGGCGCGGGGGGCGGTGCTCCTTGTCCTTGGGCGGCGGCGCGGGCGAGCGCAGCATGCCCACTGGCGGAGACCCGCCGTTGTTGGCGCCGGGCTTCACTAGTTTGCCACTCTGCAAAGTATTATAATTTCAGTAAAGCAGACTATAATATGACATTTTTATATATTTACTATAATAAGACGAATGGACAGTGTCTCTTCGTGCACTGTGATACTCGTGCATCGATGTTAAATTTTGGATACTTGTAGTTTATATGTAACAGATTTTTTTGAATTTAGTATAGGTATGTTACGTAACTTGAAAAATATGTGATAACCGTCTACAAAAAAGCACAAAGCAATGGTCTACACAAAAGCACAAAGCAAAGCCAATGGGGTTCTGCAAAAAGGGACAACATTATAAAACAAATAGTGACTAATCTGTTTCTGTTTCCGTCTTTCGTTAACGAAAATATATAACGGGTCTACCAATAGGGATGACCTGGTTTTGACAGCTCATAGTGGCCATGTTTGATGATGGATCTTTGACGTCTCTTGACATTTGTGTTCAGTAAGGTTTGCCATTTTATCATGTCTCGTTTCACTTTAAACCAACGCTTGGAAATTGTCCAAAACTTCTTTGAAAGTGACGAAGGAAACCCTGTTACTGTGAATGGCGAGCGCTATAACTCGATGTTAACCGAATATTTCTTACCAGAATTTGATGATATTGATGCAGAGGACCTTTATTTTCAACAAGACGGTGCACCACCTCTCATTACTCGAGTGAACATGGAATTATTGCGTGGAAAGTTTGGTGAGTCGTTAATTTCGAGAAATGGACCGATCAGTTGGCCACCAAGATCGTGTGATTTAACACCTTTAGACCATTTTCTTTGGGGTTAAATTTAAAGTGTACAGCAATAATCCAGCTACAATTCGTGACCTAAAAAATAAAATTCGACGAGCCATAGCCGACATACCGGCCGAAATGGTGCACCGCGTCATCGAAAATTGACGTGAGCGGGTGACCGTCTGCAAAAAGAGCCGCGGCGGTCATTTGGCCGATATATTATTTAAAACATAAATTGCATAAAATTATCTATCAAATAAATCAATTGGATGCATTTTTTATAAAAAAAAAGGATGTTTTATTCCATTTTTAAACCAGGACGTTCTTATTGGTAGACCCCATATACGAAGTGATATCCGTAAAACATTTATTTTAATATTCTAACAAGAAAAAATGCGATAGTGGTGCATGAGTACATACTCATGCACCACTATCACATTTTTTCTTGTACATAAATACTAACTAACCGGCATAATTTTTCTCTTGTTCGGTATGATATACTTTCCGGCGCTGGAAGCCCCGTCTGTAGGTCTGACAACAGCCGCAAACCGTTCTTCCTCGTCGCCGTTCTCTAACTCAATGCGTGTTTTATACGTGGCAGTGCTCTCTATTTCGGCAGCTATTTCTTCTGCTTTAGCTTCTGCATCCCTGTTAATAGAAAGTGAACAAGTTATTACCGAATACTTAGATTTCTACAAACTATTAATGAACTCTTCCAAAGCGCTGGAGGAGATTTACAAGATTGCTGATGCATAGTTTTCTAAACGTACCTATAATCCTGAGTGTCTTTCCTCTGCAGTGGGAGTGTGTATCCGGCCAATGAGTGATCATAGGTGCTGTGGACCCCGTAGACCTCCTCATTCTTCCGAAACATGTCATTCGCGTCCCACCCATTGGCGCGATGATCAAGTTCCAGATCCTCAAGCAGAGCGTCGCCGTTCAACGCAGGCGCGTCGCCGGCTTCACCGTCACAATCCCAGGGCTCTAAGTGACGCTCCTCACCAGTTCGCCCATTGCCTGATACGGAGCCTGTTCAGAGTTAATTATGAGAATTATACATAAAATAGACTATTTATTGTAAGCGATAATCAGAGGACTGAAACCTAAAGTCAATAAATCCACAAAACAGAATGTTAATAAAATTATAAGCAATCAAATATCCGCGGGAACTTAAATCATTTTTTTATTTAAGAACAGGTAGCATCGTTATGTATCATCTTTATAAGTACTTACTTATAAAGATAATGCACAGCGATGCAAACTAACCACTTGGCTAACTATGTGACTTTCAGTACCTATCATAATTTGCTCTTTGACGTGACTTTAGTGAGTTTTGCACAAAACAATACCTTTGTCCACCCTACCCATGACGTCGCCTATCACATCCTTAAATACTGAGCTTAATAAAATAAATATATTTAAGACATTCAAACAATAAAAGCACTGCAGGTTCCCTAAATCAGATAAGGATTAACCGTCATTACTTTTGTACACAATACTTTTGTTTATTTTATATCATAATTACTTAACATTATCACAATGAGGTGAACAATTCATATTCTCCTTTTTATTTATGTACAGTTATAATACTGGTTACGCCTACGCCACCTAATTTCGAAAGAGGACAAACCCATCACATAAACCAATTTTAGAAATATTTAAAAACATATATAAACTTCTCTAAAATCGACATTTTGGCAAGGTTCAAGCTACTTTTACATGTTTGATCTTTTACTTGGTACAAATTTATAAGCTTTTTTTATTTATTAATTTAAAACCTTTACAGTGTGTTTACAGGATCCTTATCCCAAGACGATTTTGTAAGTGAAAATGATAAGTTGCAATTGCTTAATAACGAAAGATAGGTATTTTATTTAGTTTTCTCTTATACGGTTAAATCAATTTTAATATTTATGGTGACTTGATCGAGGGTTAGGCGTTTAGTGATTGAGTTTTTTCGTTTATACCCAAGAGATTGCTATTAGGAATAAGGCCGCCCATTGTACATATCCATCTGTAATATTTAACCAACTTACTGTAATTGGTGTACAATAAAGGATATTTTATTTTATTCTAGATGAATATAAAGGTACTCTTTATTGCACACCATAAATAATAAAAAGAATGGGTATAATAGGTAGCCTTATCGCGGTCTGCGATCTCTTACAGGCCACCTTCGGATGGACTATATGCATAGTAAAAGGTGTGGTGTACATTTTCATGTACGGTTTAAGTCGATATTTTTTGTTGCGTATATTACTTTTACTACATAAAAAATTACTAAATAATTTTACTATTTAAAAAGTAATTTCCCCGGATTTTCCTTTGTGTTATTACTATCTGATTATGTGAGGTGTGTTGTATTACTCTCCATATAGCGTTTGTTTCTCCATACCATTTAATTGCGACAATCATATTGAAAGTAACATGTAATTACTTCCTGTTTCCTCTTCCTCCTTATACGACATAATGATGTCGTACTATTACAACTCTCTCTTGTATGGAAATTTCATAAGCAAAATATTTAAAGATTTTTTGAACAAACTTGAATTAAAATAAGGTCACCAACTATGCCTTTAAATTATCTTACATTACCTAAATATCGAATTATTTGTTTTAGTTTATAAATGGGCGAAACAACTTTCAATCTGTTTACCAAAATTCAGTATTTTAATGTTCTAGTCCAGGTTTACAGATATGCTATAAATACAAGAAAACAATCTAGTGTAAGTTGAAATTGAGAATATTAAAACATTTACAAATATAGCTTGTGTTTTAAAGTCTTCTAATCAGCTGTAAGTAAAGGACTTTTCTCAATTTCAGGCTCACTAGCTTCAGTTATAATAATAAGATTCGGAACAAATTGCCGGTGACAGGCTGGCAGAAGCACTAGGGATCCAATAAGGATTCCGTTTTCATTCGGAAATATGTGTGAAAAAAGGTAGATCTGTCCATTCTACCTTGTAAACGTAATAATTTGCATTTCAGACCAAACAAAGACATCTGGTTAACTTGAATGTGGAACCTTCTTAATTAAAAAACATATGCAATCTCGAATACTAGAACCAACTTACAAGCGCATGTCATCTCGGGTACTAGTAGCCGGGGAACTAGGGGTAACCTAATAAGGAAATCCCTGAGTTCTAAAAGACCTAAGGACTCCCAAACTTTTTGGGCAAGAGACCCCTTTTCTAAAATGAACTGATACCTCAGACCCCCATAGCCAAATCACATCACGCTTATTGACTTCTTGAATTTTTTAAAAGTAAAACAATGATGCTGCCTACTAAATTATAAATCATTCTTTTAACAAGTTGGTATAGGTACGCAACACAACTAGTAATCTTAAAAGTTTCAAATTAATTCAAATAAGAACTTATGTTAATGTTATTAGACCTCTTGGAGCTCTAAAATCAGTTTTCGTTTATGTCGACCCCAAGGGGTCCACTTTGGGAATCCCTGACCTAGATTTTTATTTTCATATATGGTGTTGATAACACTTTAGTCTTGGAGATGGCCATTAATTCCAACACCATTCTAAAGTCACAAATAGGAATTAAAATACTAAAGGTAGGAGCTTACCATTAAATTTGCCAGAAATAGCACTATCTGTCTGAAAAACGTCATGTGTGGCGTATTCGAGATCAGAATCCTTAGCTCTGATGGAGACCACATCTTGTGGCTTGAATATCAGTTTCTCAACCACTGAGTCGACTGCCACCACACCTTCCTGGTCCACACGGTGAGCCACTTCTAATACAACCTGCAAAGTAATAAAACTAATCTTTAATATCGTCTTCATCTATGCTTATTGATCGAGTCTCTAGGTCTGGCCTATTTAGCTTTTGACTGTAATGTATAACGTGTATTCAAAATCAGCCTGTAGAGTTTTTCTCAGGCCGTGGTTTGTTTCATATTTGCAGTGTTACCGACTGTTTTTTGAGGATATTTAGAATTAAAACAAACTCAATTATAAACGAGATCTTGTAAAACACGTGAAAAGCAGGGTAATAGTACTCTTTCCCCTCTTCTACTCTTACTACACGATAGATGAAACGGATGTCCGGTGATTATCGGGTAAATTTTTGTCCGTTCTGATACTGGATTATCATCAAGTAGTAAGCAGATACTGAATAAATGTAAGGTCTTTATTTAAGACTAACCAATAAAAAATATATTTTTACTAGCTGCACTGTGCGACTTCGCCTGCGTGAACTTTGTGCAAAACCTAACAGTATAGATGGCGCCACCTATTTACCAAATATTGAATTATTAGGTTTTTTCCTGATTATAAGGTATTTTACCGCTGTAAAAAATAGTCTATGTATTATTCTAGGTCATATTCTATTTGTGTACTAAACTTCATTCAAATCTGTCCAGGCGTTTTAACTAAATAAAATACAACCTTTCAGCAGTCGGGTAAAATATAAAGTAAATACCTATAAAGTATTGCAAGGCTTCGCTGTAAACTATATTTGATGTACTATTCGTTTGAAGCAAAATAAATTGATTTTCCGGAGATCCCACTCGAGACAGGCTAACGTATACTTGTCCATGGGAGAAGCAGCGCAGACCAGATAGATTTAAAGAGTTGTCGAATGACCAGATGGAGTTTTAGAATGTACAGTGTCTTCGATGGACTTGTAGCATTTAATGCCTCTTGTTACTTTTTGTAGTAAAATATCATTAATTTCATTGACTGAATCATTTCGTGGCGAAACTATTGCTCTGGAACAAAGCCAGTTGTAGTTCCTTGTAGGTATATTTTTTATTTATTATTCGATTTCGGTATAAACAGCATCAATAAGATATTCAGAGCTGTGAACAATTTTACCTAATCCGTTATTTAATACTACTTGGTGGCAGTTTACATCTGTAGCTGGAAATTTTATTTCTCCAAGTTTAAGCAACTTTTCTGGAAATAACTGTCATAATTGTTCGTTAGATATTCTCATATCGGTGGCCAAATTAAACGTTTCCATTGAATTCCATATTACAGAAGATTTAAAAAATTACGATATCCGCACGTGTTCCCTTGGCGATAACAGGAAGTGTTTGCCTAAAATCTCCAGAAAAGACAAAAGTCACAGCACTTGAGTTACGAGGGTCTTTTAATGTCCGTTCTACTGCTTCAACATGAGCCCTATGGCTCATTTTACATTCATCCCATATTTTGAGGAACGTATTTTGTAATAGAATTTCCAAAGGACCGTTTTTCGAATTGAGCATACAGATGTTACTCTAAAGACACAGAAAAGACATTTGAAGCAATGCCCACTCTATAGAGAAGGTAACATCGCGGCGCCCGCAAACGGTTCGTGTATAGCATTTATACTCATGATAACTTCGAAATTAAATGTTTATAATTAAATAATATCTGCTTAACGAATTGACAAATTTTAATAATGTAAAGACAAAAAATTATTTACTTGAAATTATCTCGATGATGAAATACTTTAATTTTATGAGGATTCATATAATTACACGAAAAAATGCATCTAAAGTATGTAGTGAATATTAAAAAAAAATGTATATAAAAAAAACGCTTTTTATAGCTTAGCCTGTTATAGATAGATATACACCTTGCGAACATTTTTGTAGTCCTAAAATTCATTAGCACATTATTTCGTCTTATAATTAACCATTTAAGCAGCACACGCGAAGAAATAAAATTTTTGAGACGATTTATTACACCTTGGTTAACATAACCTGTTTTTTTTTTGCACATGTCTAGGTTTTTTTTAAATAAATTATAGCCTATGTTACTTCCTGATAATGTAGCTTTCAATTAGTGAATAATGGTTAAAATCGGTCGGGTAGTTATGGAGACTAATCGTACAAACAAACAAACAAAAAAATCTTTCCTCTCTATAATATTATTATAGATATACATATTAATTCAAATACAAAATTTCCTGCATTAAGAGAAAATAAAGGGCGAAGACGTGATCAATTCGTACTTTATGTCAATAAAGTAAAAATCAATTTCACATTAAGCTGCTATTTTCTTGATTCTAACACTGGATTCTGTTTTTGTCTTTAACTATTTAATTTAAGCAATTTGTAAGCTTCGCGAGATACATTCGACTCTGTCTAGAGATTTTAACTGTTTATAACCGGTGTTGATGATAATTTCTAACTGAGGACTTGTTGTAAAACAAATAATAAAATAATTATCTGTTGAGCTGTTTCAGCTTAAGAAGTTATCTGATATCTTAATATGTTATTTTATTAATAATTCACCTTGCAGGATTACTTCCGCAGGACAAGCAATCGGCAGCTATTTCGCGGCCAGATATCCGGAGACAGCTCTGATTTAGTTTAAATCTCGCTTATCGTGAACAAATAAAAATATCTTTAACTTACATTTAAATGTGGTACCAACGTGTACAGTACCTTATATCGTTACGATAAACTAAAACTGACTTATAAAATGCATTGTTCCGCACCGGCTATTGTTGTAGTGTAACGGGAGTTCCACAGATCAAGATATTAATATACTTTAATTGATTTACTTATATTTCAGTATAACAAATACTAAATACACTTGTTCATTTATTATATTAAGTACATCTATCAATAAACTGTAGACTTTATATCAAGGCTAAACAATGCCAAATAACCTGTTAATTGTATTCTCAAGGTTATGGTTTAAGTTACCGTCTTCGCCGTTTGATGAATGAAACGAAATCGATCGGTTAGGAAATGTTAGTAAGTTAGTATGTTTACTTATAAATGGTGAAATAAATAATTAAGCAGTTAAATAACACAAAGTTTAACCTAAGAAGATAGGTACTACAATTTTTTAACACCATTGTTCCTGTTTTATGAATAAAAAGTTTTATGAATAGATACATAAATAAAAGTTAATATTTGCACAATATAATGACACTGTACATTAATACCTTTTCGCCCTTAAACTTTAAAGGTGGTGGATACCTTTTTAGACAACTTACCTAACCAATTTCTAATTTTATTAACTAGTATTCTAGTAAATTTAGCAAATACGGAATAATAATGAATTTCGAATATAAGTATTTGTGATTTGAAGCGATTGTATTTATCCACTTCAAAGGTACATGTTATAATATGTTCTCTAGAGGACAACGTCCGCGTCGCGCCGTTCACTGTCCAAATACCCAACGATCACAATAGCGTTTAGTTATCGTCATAAACACCTAGTCACTTCGGCAGCGAGATAAATGACGTAACCAGTCAACACGCTAGCTTCCGTATACACTAGAAGACTACACTATGAGACTGCCGGCAAAAATGTACTAAATGAAGATTTAAAAGTGACTGCCTCACCTGACGTCATTACAGTAAGCCAGACACGTTTATCACGTTGTCAAGGTCAAATTTATGCATAAGTGGCATTAACTTTTGCTTATAACATACGACGAGACTATCTTATCCATACAGTTCATTCTTGGAAACAATAGTTAAGATACAATTACATTTTAATGTCTTCCTGGTCCCATTCGTCAGTGGAAAAGAAAAAACATTAAACGCTCACAACTTCTACATTTAAAATTATGAACTAAAAATTGCTTACCCTATTACGGGTCTTATTATTTTTGCCTTTTCTATTTCATTAAACAAGTCTAATATTAAAGCACTAAATCCTTGTAGCATTTGAACGGCTAGATTCTTTTTCATTAAGTTGGCAATTAGGTCGTCAAGCCCTGTGGTATTTTAAGACGGGCTTTCATGTTTGTAGAACCAAGATAATGAATGATGTATATCAATATATAACATACATTATAATTATCATCATTCATGAATAAAGATAATATTTCTTAGCCCAAGTTCTACCTACTTTTATCTAGTTTTTTTGTTTAAAAGAATAAAACACTGTCAAACGTGAAAGCATAATAAAACACTGTCAAACGTGATAAATAAGTTGCATCAGAAGGCATATATTTGCGAGGAGATGCACTAAATACAATAAAAATCCTAACGCCATAATAATGCCTGTGACTATTTCTCATAATTGTTCAAATGTTTTGTTACATTCTGATGTTATACTGTAAATATTGAAATATATCATATATAATTATTATATTGAGGGTCATAAGTTTAGGCTCGAATGCTATTGACGTCTGCTAACTATGTACCTTTTAATTCCATTGTTCGTTTTCAGTTAGTGTGAATTAATTCATTTTAGTTATTATGTTAGTACTTGAATGATTTTTTAAGTCTTTCTATCACTAAAGGAAACGCTGAACGATCATTTGGCTTTCTTTATCTATGTTTTGGACAAGATCCTTAGTCAGGTCAGGATGTAGGTATCAAATCATTAAATAATTTGTAATTCAAACAGTAATCATTACAAGTTTACACTTTTTTATGGTGTTTAAACCCCCACGGGTCATCGCTTCACTTTTGATGTTTAAAGTAGCAAAGGATATTTTCTCAAACAAGAATATTAGACATAATTTGTATAAAACCAAAATCAATCTTAAAACAATTAAGGTAAACGCAAGTTTCTAGTGCCTAGCATGTAAAATGGTTAACAACCTTCAAACTAAATTGGAATTGAAATTTTCACATAATATGGAATTAGGAAAGAGAGACAATGTTTTTAGTTTCAAACTTTACAAAGTAGAGTATGTTAGACAATGCATACAATGTCTTTGTCAATGAGTCGCAACATCACACACCATTATAATCTACAGTAAAGTCATTGATCCTGATCAGAAATGAAAATTTATTGCGATTTTTGTACATAAAACGAGTTAATTGGTGTGTACGTTTCGTATT